ATTGCATCCAATTCTTGCATAAGCTGCTTAAACAGGCCAGAGCTCTTAGTACTAGCACCTTAATTAAAATGGTGCATCAGATTATTAAATTCAATCCTTGGTCTCTGTGGGCAGAAACCTTAGATTTAAAAGACTGGGATAGGGGCTGGGGATTTAGCTCAGTGGTGCCGCCAGTTGCCTTAAAAGCACAAGGTCTCGAGTTCAATCCCTGGTACAAAAAAAAAAAAAAAAAAGATTGGGATAGGATTGATGAAAATTAAAAAGAGCAGAGAAGTGCCCATCTCTCCTAAGACCTTTTCAGCTTTGGGCCTAGAAAAATCAGTTTGGGGTCCTTTAAACACTACCCCTCCCTGGGCCGGGGATTTAGCTCAGTGGTTCTGCCACCTGCCTCGAAAGTGCAAGGACCCGAGTTCTATCCCCAGTACCAAAAAGAAAAGAAGAATCAAATGTTAGAAGATAGGTTGAAGCATGGGTGAATGCTTATGGCCTAACAAGTGTTAAAACAGGTTACCAAGTAATATGAACACAGCATCCTGGGCTGGGGATGTACGGAGTTCAGTGGTAGAGTGCTTGCCTAGCATGCTCAAGGGTTTGATTCCCAACATCATGTAAACAAAACAAGACAAAAAAACCCCACCAGAAATACAAAGCAAACTATACACTGATTCTGTGCAGAACACACATTGTGTATGCAGAAGATAAAAACCACAGAGATGATCACCAAAGTAGGAATGCTATGTTATCTTTGGGTAGAATTATAGATGATTTTTGTGTGTTTTACTTTCTATTTTTAAAAAATAAAGATGTACTAAATTTTTTATGCAGGAAGAAAATGAAGATTTGTATTACCATCTAGACTTTTCTCAGTTCATGACTGAGCTTTGGTCTGCTTGTTTTACTAAAAGCAAACACTTCTTGAGAACAAAAAACAAATCGCTAGGCAAATATTGATCTGTTGCTAAGTGAACAAGAGGCATATCCTCCCACTGAAGTAAAGTTTTTCTCCAGACATAAAAAGATTCATTTATGATGTAGCTTTAGGTTTACCATCTTAAAACAGATTTAAAACTGACTTTAATGCTAAGTGGGGTGAAAAGGAAGAGTCCCTACTCTCATAGCAAGCTTTCAAAGTTCACTTTTCATCAACTAGTTTCCTGCTGCAGAGCAGTGAGAGGCTATGTTCTGATTTGTACCTAAGTTGTAGTAACCAGCTGCTTGCAGTCAGGGCTACTGAATGAGAGCAGCAGCTCACTATAAATCAGTTAGCTGAAACTTCCAGCCTGGACGAGCACATGTGAGGCTGCAGATGGGCTTCCTCCTAGGAAAACAGCTTCAAAGTCCCAAGGGAAGCATTTTTACCCTGAACAGGCGTTTCCTGCTCTCAGCTTCAAACACATGAGAGGCCATTGTGGAAATGTGGCAAGTGACAGAACATCAGAGGCCAGTGGCTTCCGCCAGAGTGGTGGACACAGAAAGAGTTCACGCGGGGATCAAAGGCCACCAGGAGGCCAGCCGCACTCATGCCTCTCTTGTGGGCTGTTCTCTTCCTGCTTGGGCCTCAGCCCCTGTACTACTCCCAGGAAAGTGCCCTGTCCTCTTCCCCATGGATGAGAAGGGAAACTGGCTCCAGTTTGTGGTTAGCTTCCCTTGGCTACTTCCAGTTTCCTCATTCTTAAAATAACAGGAAAAATGAATCCAACCTTTACATTTTTAAGAGAATTAAATGGCAGAATGTCATTTCAAACACAGTGACATGAACAGGAGAGAGCAACATGAAAACATTTTGCCAATGTGCTACACGAATTCAGGATACAGTTAATTCTAAAATCAGAATCTATATCAGAAATAAGATGTTAGTTAAAAGTGGGAGAGAAAGAATCCCTTTGCCCCCTGGTCATCTGTCATTTCAAGCCAGAGGGAGTTGGCAACTTACATAACGCTCTGACATGCTTTAAGAGAGTTGGTCCTATAAATCAAAGGGATACCCCTTGGAAGTCAATAGTTGGGGGGAACTTGTCTTTTCAGGCCCATCTGTAACCACAGCTAATTCCTAAGCAACATTAGCTCTCCTTTAACCTAGGCCACCAGCACCCTCCTCATCCGGGCTTCACCAGGGGTCCTTGTGATGATGGCCAGTGACCAGAGACTCCACACTGATGCCACAAGCACACAGGTGGATGTCACATTCCCCTCCCAGCCTTGACCTCCGCAGAGATGAGGACAGAGAGGGACTGGACCCTCTTCTATTCCAGGAGGAGGTTGGGTCATCTCAACAGAAGTCACAAGGCACTGGGTCAGCACCTCAGGGTCATCAAGAATGGGTGCCAGGGAGGGGAAGAAGCAAAGGGAGATTATAGGATTCAATGTCTCTGGTTATTTTTAAAAGGAAAATAACTGGCCGGGGATTTAGCTCAGTGGTTCTGGCGGCTGCCTCACAAGTGCAAGGTCCCCAGTTTGGTCCCCAGTTTGGTCCCCAGTACCAAAAAAAAGGAAAATACGAAGAGGTAAAAACTGCCATAATCAGCTTTCATTTACACTTCGAACAATTAGTACACACTCAAACCTTACACATTGTTTCTTCAGAGCTTGGGCAAAGGCTGCTTTCCTGTGCCTTCCTCCTTCTAAGTACTCAGGACCCAAAGCTGGGTGAAAAAAAATTTTTTTTTTTGTACCGGGGATCGAACTCACGTCCTTGCGCTTGCGCAGCAGGTGGCGAAACCACTGAGCTAAATCCCTGGCCAGCTGGGTGAAAATTTAATACTCATCTGCATATAAATTTTCAGGGTTTTGAATACAGTGGTGGGTTTGTTTTTATTTTTTTGGTATTGGGCATGTAACCCAAGGCCTTCACACTGAGTTATATCCTCAGCCCTTTTTTATTTCTTTGGGACAGGGTCTTACTAAGTTGCCCAGGCTGGGCTTGAACTTGTGAGCTTCCTGCCTTAGCCTCCCTCAGTGCTGGGATTACAAACATGCACCACTGCACATAGCTAAATTCTTTGGTTTTTAAAAGCTCTCTAAAAATGAGAGTTCCACTTAATTTGAAAGTAGGTTAAAGGTCATCAGGCAGTCCAAATTAGTGATTTATCTTAAAAAGTATTGAAGAAACACTCAGAATACAAGAAAGATCCTGGATAATTTTCAAACAGTTATGTGCATACCCTTTACAGAGCAGATTTCTTTCTTTCTTTCTCTCTTTTTTTCCTTTCCTTTCCTTTCCTTTCTCTCTTTTTTTTACAGTTCTAGGGATTGAACTCAGGGGTGCTCTATCACTGAACTACATCCCCAGTCTTTAATTTACTTTTTATTTTGAGACTGGGTCTTCCTAAATTGCCCATGCTAGGCTCGAACTTGTGATTGTCCTGTCTCATCCTCCTCAACAGCTGGGATTACAGACATGTGTCACCATGCCTGATACACAGCAGATTTTTTGTTTTTTTTTTGGTACCAGGGATTGAACTCCAGACCTTGCACTTGCGAGGCAGGTGGCAGAATCACTGAGCTAAATCCCTGGCCCTCAGGGCAGATTTCTAATTGCAAACACTGCATAATAAAAACACCACATCCTTATCTTGGTGCCAAGCTGTAGAGGCCACACAACATACAGTCACTCAGCAGGGGCAGTTCCAGACTCAATTATGACATTATGCAGTGTACCACACTCCACCAGAATTAAGCACCATTTCTCTTGACACGGGGTCATGGCATCACTCTTGGAACTATGAGGAGACTACACACAAACACCCAAATGCCAAAGCCCACAGTGGAAGGTCTTCAGCCTTGTCTAACGGCCTGTGACAGTCAGCTAGACAAAGCAAGTCCCAAATGTTCAGGTGTCTCTGCTGCCCACTGGTCTGCTAGGAGGGAAGAATCACTCATTCAGTGTTAACAATCCCAAAAAGGGAGTAAAGGGATGAGCTTCTACTATACTACTACCCACCAGGTATCAGAAAGTCTGATAGTCTCAGGCCAGGGATTTAGCTCAGTGGTTGCACCGCCTACCTCCTAAGCGCAAGGACCCAAGTTCGATCCCCAATACCACACACACACACAAAAAGTCTGATAGTCTCATGTTGAGGGGACACAGTTAGAGAAAGACAGCTCTCCAAGCAGCCAGCTGCCCCTCCGAGGCCCAGCAGGAGAGGAGTGAGCTAGCAAAGGCACAGAGAAAAGCAGCAATGACAAAGAGAGGACTTCAGTCTGATTTGGGGGTGGGGTGGGCGTGGAATGCTGTGTGCATGAAGCTTGGACACAGATAATCAGAAAACATCCACAGGGCAGGAGGGGAGGGTGTATTTCACACCACATTGGTTGAAAACACTATGTGTGGCCCAGAATATGGATTCCCTATGGCTTCCTCTGTCAGAAGCAGTGCCCCTCCTGCCACCTCCAAAACACAGTCATGGCCTTTGCAGGGAGACCTGGCCCATGGGGTGAGGCCACCCTCCTTAGGGGCCATCTCTCAGCCAATACTCAGTGCAGTTTCCAGTATGGCAAGGAGAGTATCCAACTAACAGGTCTGTGCCTTTTTATCACTTTTTATCAGAGGATGGTTCTTCTGACCTAGGATTGGCAACAGGGGATTAGCTAAAGAGCTGGAATATTATCAAGTCTTCCATATCTACATAAAAATGACTCTGCTCTCTGCAAGGTCCTTGTCATGGATCAGGACACCATACTGTGGAAGACAAGATGTTTCCAGGCAGCAAAGATTTGATTGTCTCTCATATCCTCTGGGATTTAAACACCGGGCTACCACCAGGACTAGCTGTTTTAACACCAGTGAGGCCATCTTCCATCAATGCCTTAAGGACACAATATGAGAAGGTTCTTTTTTGGAGGACAGGGGAATGCTGGGGATTGAACCCAGGATACAGTGCATATTAGGTAAATGCTCCATCACTGAGCTCCCCCGCAGCCTGAGCAGGTTCTTCTCTGAACACCCCCCAGGGGCAAACCAGTTAGCATGTGAGCATATGGAGGGCACATGGTCTACTCACTCTTTGGTCAGAAGGGGACAGGACTTGAGCAGGAAGCGCGACAGCCCTGAGTCCTGGAAGTAGAGGTCAGGTGGGGCTGTGGGGCTCTTCAGGTTCAAACACCGGACAATCACGTATAGCACAGCAGCAACTGCAGCCAGTTTCACCCCGTCAAACACAGCTGGGAGTTCAGGGGTATCCATCATGGCATTCATCTTGATCTGGGGAGCAGAGAACAGATCTGAGGAGGGGTGGAGCGCACCACAGGACAGGCACATCCTGCTGTGAGCAGGACACATGTGTGTCCATAAGAAGATGCCATCAGCACCTTATAACCATCGATGCACCAACAGCCTACTAGTTACAAGTGCACAGCCCTGGGTGCTTATAGACTGGGGCCAGCATGGTTTTCTTTCTCTAATTTCATGAGCATTTTTAAGATAAGCAAACTGGAAAATGCTGATAATTGTGTTTTTCTGAGAGTAGGAAAAATGACTAGTGAGAAAGGCAGGAGTAGGACTGGGGGCAGTGCACTGATTTCTGCAAACAGGCCACCTCAAAGCTCTCTGCACACTTAATCTGCACCTAGAGCAGCAGGTGTGTGTTAAGTGTTGTGTTTACAGCCTCAGGTGCAAACGGATGGGACTCCTGGTGCCAGGTGTGCTGTCCTGCCTGCTTGCCCCACCTCTCTGTTTTTAGAGCAGGCTGAAGAGAAGCAACATCAGCCTGACCCAGCCATCTGTTCTTTGGAGCCCCCGGCACTGGAGTCTAGTTTTAACTCAGCCCAAGTTGCAGTGGCACTGGCTCTGGGGGTTTCAGGTAGTGTGGCAATGAGTGTAGCATTTTTTTTTCCCTGCAGAATGAACCTGGCTATAGCCACTAGTAAAAAATTAGGCTAAAGGTGGACTAAATTTGACTATTAGATAAAAAATTAAAATTATAGCACAGAAACTATACATGCATATATGATATTTCATAAGCAGTCCTAATATTTCACATTCTAAAGTAGCTTTACTTTATATACAACACACATGCACACACATACCCCAGACCAAACAAATGTAACAGTAACAAAACTTTAGCCTTTTCCTTGCTGCTCAGCTGAATAACAGAGCAGCAGATGTTACCTTAAGAATTAGGGAAAATTGGGCTGGGGATTTAGCTTAGTGGTTCCGCCACCTGCCTCACAAGCGGAAGGACCCGAGTTCAATCCCCAGTACCAAAAAAAAAAAAAAAAGGGAAAATGAAAGCTAATGAAGAAGGAGGAAGAGGAAGGGAGGGAGAGGGATAAAGAGAGATGAGTGGGAGAGGGTAAAGGAGAAGGAGAGGAAGAGAAGAAGAAGGTGAGAAAGAAGAAGAAGGGGAAGAGGAAGAAAAAGAGGAGGAGGAGGAAGAGGAAGAAGAAGAAAATGGTAACTTCCATAGTCTAGGTAGCTATGGCAACTGCTTCCCCTGGAATGATTTCAAGTAGCCTCTGCAAAAATCAGTCATTATGAGAACTCTGGTAGCCAAGGATGGAAACAAAACAGGTAGGGCAAAAATAATCTCCATGGGGCCGGGGATTTAGCTCAGTGGTTCTGCTGCCTGCCTCACAAGCTCAAGGTCCCGAGTTCAATCCCCAGTACAAAAAAAAAAAAAAAATCTCCAAAAACGAATGGGGTGTAATTGACTCAACTCCCCTGAGACCTAAGGCAGGTCCAGAGAGGCCTCAGAAAGCCTTTTCTAAAATCAAGGCAACTTTGGCAAATACAGGACCTAAAAATACTGCAGATGATCTCTAGCAAGGGCTCTTGACCAAATGAGGGAAGAAAGTTAATGATCATTTTTTCAGTCGTACTGGAGATTAAACCCAGTACCTTCACATTGAGCTATATCCTTAGCCCTCTTTTTAAAATTTGAGGTAAGGGAAAGGAAAGATGGGAAAAGAAAAAATATGAGAAAAGAAAAAATATGAGAAAAGAAAAAAATGGAAACAAAGTCTTTGCAAATAGGGAAGGGTGGAGGGAATGAAAGGAGGGCAGGGGAATGGGGAAAAAAAATAAGAACCAAGATACATCATGTAAAGGTACAAGATCCCAGTGATGAATGTCACTGTATTTTACACCTAAAATGTACCAATAAACTCAATGGAAAAAAGAAATTGAGATAGGGTCTTGCTAAGATAAGACTTGAACTTGCAATCCTCCAGCCTTAGTCCTCCAAATGCTGGGCCTTCAGGTATGTGCCACAACACCTGGTGAAAGGAATTTTTTAAAACCTCTCTGACACAATTTTGCATCAAGTTAGACCTCAGGATGACCTCTCAGCTGCATTGAGGAGTTTTCTTAAACCTTTACTCCTGGTGACACACCGTCTCACTTCTGGGGTCAGTCAGGTATCCCGAAGGCTGCCTGTCTATAGACTTCCAAAACAAGGATTCTTAACTTAGGGTTTGTGGATCCCCTGTGGGACTCTAGGGTCCAGGAAGGCCCTGATATCATACATGAAAGTCTGTGCCTATGTGCAGTTTTATGGGGGCAAGGCTTCACAGCATTAATCAGATTTCAAAGGGCCTGTGGCTTAAGCAAGTACACAGCACTGCACCTAAAGATGCTCAAGGGGTCACCCTGCAGCCCCCGTTCCTCACTCTGTTGGAGCTCTGTCACCTCAGCTAGACAGACTAATGCCCAACAAATACCCAAGGTGAGACAGCTGGTTAATTATGGCTTTTAAGTCTGGTAAGTGGAAGGCCTACAACAAAAACCTATCAGAAATTCCAAAGTTTCTCTGACTGGTAATATGGAGCTGGAAGAGAAGTTCTGCCATGTCTCCTTTGTTGGAAAGGGAACAGAATAATGCTGTGGGCTGTGGCTCAAGAGTAGGGCTTTTGTCTGGCCTGTGGGAGACCCTGGGTTCCACCTCCAGCACTGAAGAAATATTGCCCAGTAATGCAGAGGGCTGGGTTACTAGTCCGCATTGGTCTAGAGTAGCAACTTTTTTTCTGTCATTAAAAAAAAACCCTGAACTTTATTGGGAGAGTATTTTTGGACAAAAGGAAGAGAATAAGAATTGGGGAGGGAAATAAGGGGATGAATATGAACAAAATATGTTACAGGTATATATGAAAGTACCACACTGAAATGGAATATTTTGTATAATAAGCACTAACAATAGAGTAGTAACTTTTGTGGAATTAAAAAATAAATCCTCCCCTCCCCACTTCTACTCCATGCCTACTAACATATGAGGTGGTGGAGAGAAGCAGGAAAAATGAGTTTTAATTATAGGATAATCTTTTTTTTTTTTTGGTACCGGGGATTGAACTCAGGACCTTGTGCTTGTAAGGCAGGTGGCGGCACTACTGAGCTAAATCCCCAGCCCTAAAATGAGTTTTAGCAACACATACCTATATTGCTTGTTCTTCTCACAGCAGATATTAATTTTCCTTGAAGAGTTGTACCGTTGGGCTGGTCAGGTCAGATCACTTATTCAAATTAACCTAAAAGATGAAAAAAGATTGGAGGGTGATGTTTTAAAGAATTAGAAAGTAACTGTTTAATTGAAACAAAAACATTCTAAATTTCTCTGCATTTAATGTCATGAGGGAAAAAGACAATTTTGTTTTTGAGACAGGTTCTCACTATGTAGTCTAGGCTGGCCTTCAACTTGTTGTGCAGTTCAGGCTGGCTCATAATCCTCCTGCCTCAGCCCCCTGAGTACTGGGATTACAACTGTGCACTACTATGTCTAGCAAGACAATTTCTTTAATGCATGTACCATCCTTGGAGTCGTTTGGCTACTTTCATGCCTACTGGGAGAAGCGCCGTCTGATAGCCTCTCCATGGCTTCCAGGACAAGTTATCTACCTGCTGTGCTCCTTGTCCTAGCTAAAGCCAACCTGCAATGCTTTTCTGCTTCAGCTCCAACATGCCCTTCAGCAATGCCTAGTAGGGCAGGAATCATATCTACGTGGCCAATGTAATAACTGAGCCAGGAGGCCCTAGACCAAGACAGTATAGCCAGTCGACACATTCCTTCTCTCCCAAACATGTGGCCATGGCAAGAAAAATGTGAGCCGAGAAAAGCAGAAGGGAGAGATGGGCTCAAAAACAAGGTACTAGAACAGAACTCAAGACAGAGCTGAAAGGAATAGGTATGGAGCTGCAGCACCTCCAGGTCTGGGTCTGGACAGGGGTCCCAGAGACCGGCTGCAAGGGGCACTGGAAACAACAAGTGGCGACTGAGAGATGAGGAACCAGATCCCTGAGCCCCCTTGAAAATGTGCTAAAAAATCTATAGATTCCAAAGCAGCAGAGGAAGCCAAAACAAGACCATGAGGAGACAGCCAATGTTTATGTAGTGCTATCTTTGAGCTGATATACACCAAGCTCTGTTCTTCATAATTCATACATACTAACTCTTAATCCTTCCCATGTCCAGCGAGGCAGATGCAATTATTACTCTATTTTACAGATGAGGAAACCGAAGCCTAGGAAGTTTAAATATTTGCTTAAGGTCACAGAGGTGGTAGGTAGAAAAGCCAGGATTCACCCCTGGCTCCAGAGACTATGCTCTTAACCATCATGCTGTGCTACTTGAAAGCACGGAAGAGAGAGAAGCAAGCAAAACAAACTGAATGCGTTTCCCAGAGTCACTGTAAAAGCTGAGCTGGGATTCAAGTCTTGCTTTTTTTCTCCTGATCCCACCACAGCAAAATGATTGAAGAAAAAGCCAGTCAAAGGAGAGACTCAATTAACCTGCTGGCAGAGGAACGGGCCCAGGGCAGACCCAAGATCCCAAACTGGCAGCCCATGAGCTCGTAGGGTATACCAAATTATCAACTTGCCAAGTTATAAACACTGGGAGAGTTCAGATAAAGAAATCTAGAGTTTTGGCTTCACTTTAAAAAATTCTAAGATTTTGCAAGATGGAGCCAGCCTTCCCACCGGGCAACAAAGAACAGGCCTGAGCAGTGCGCCCCTTTGGATAAGGCAGAGGCTCTCTCCAGTCCTAGGCACTCATCTCACCACTCCCTTATTACCTTCAACCCTGCCTTCTGGCCCACTCTAATTGTTTCTAGTACCTAAGCGGGCCCTGTAAGCACTGAAGTATGCAACCCTTATAGAAAACTAAGGTCCCTTCTAGCCCTGGACAAGTCTGTACCGATGGAATATTCAAAAAATGTTTTTTTGTTGTTTTTTTTTAAAATTCTTTTATTGGTACATTGTAGGTATACAACACAATTACATTTCTCATTGGGAATTGTACCTTTACGTAATGCATCTTGGTTCTTATTTTTTCCCCATTCCTAGCCCTCCCTTCACGCCCTCCACCCTTCCCTATTTACAAAGACTTTATTTCCATTAATATATTTCATATGTTTATTTGCCATTTATATATTGGTTTTTGTTGTTGTTGTTTGTTTTTTTTTTTGGTACCAGGGATTGAACTCGGGTCCTTGTGCTTGCGCAGCAGGCGGCGAAACCACTGAGCTAAATCCCTGGCCCTCAAAAAATGTTATTAGTATAAATGCAAATGCAAATTCATAGAAAAAAAGGGGAAGGACAGAGTGGTAAAGGTTACAGGGTGACAAAATGTAGTACCTTTTGTTGGTTGATATTTAACTTTTTTTTTGGTACTGAGGATCGAACTCAGGACCTTGCACTTGCCAGGCAGACGTGGAGCCACTGAGCTAAATCCCTGGCCCAATATTTAACTATTGATTGAAGTCTACTTACACCTTTGAGATGGCTTCAATAAAACACTCTTACTGAATAAATATCTAGAGAGAGAAAGACTTGAAAATGTAGCTGACTGCTGATTCCAAGAGTAAGTTTCCCCTTCATCCTCAGTAACAGAAGCTAGGGTTGTGGAAAAATAAAGAATTTGGAATATGAGAAAAGCAACATACTCCAGCTTCTCTTGCAGCTAGGTGAGTCCAAGGGACTAAATTCTGGCCAGTTGTGGAAGGGTTGGGTTGGTCTATTAGTCAGCCTTTTGTCTCTGTGCCCAAATATCTGAAAAAATATTAACAGCGGAGGAAGGGTTTATTTTTGGCTAACAGTTTCAGAGGTTTTGGTTCCTGGTTGGCTGGCTCCAAGGTACAAATATCATGGTAGAAGGGTCTGGTGGAGGAAAGCTGCTCACCTCATGGCAGCTGGGACACCAAGTAAGCAGGAAGAGATCCAAAGAAAAGCTACTCCCTTCGAAGGCACACTGCCGGTGACATACTTTCTCCAATTGGGCCCCATCTCCCAATAGCCCACTCAGCTATGAACTCATCAATGGATTGAGCCATTGATGAAATCGGTACCCTTATGATCCAATCACCTTCCAAAATCCCCACTTTTGAACATATGAGATTTCCAGGGAACATTTTAGATATAAACCATAATAGTCTGATTTCTAGGAAGGCTCCTGAAAAGGCAGAGAGTTAACCTTTTGTCTTCCCTTTTCCCTTCCTGCTTCCCTGGAATGTAGACAATATGAGTGCAACTCTGACAGCCACCTTGGGCAAGGAGTGACCTTGAGATCACTCTAGGAACCCCATAAAGATGACAGCAGAATAGAAAGACAAGTTATTTGTGTTCCTGACAATTTAGTGGCATCATCATCTCAGACCTAGATCACTTGTTTCATGATTTCTTTCACTTGAGAGAACTGTTTGCATCACTGTTATTTCTGGATCTTTTTATTCTGCAATTTCCAATGATACACAAGGAAATATTATATACCTAAATTGAAGTGCTGGTTATAAAGTACTGGCAATTGCTCTTTTTTTCTGTTTTCTAAAATTCATTATGATTCTAAAAACTATTGTTATTAGAAAAAAAGCTTTAAGGACTGGGGTTATCTCAGTGGTAGAACATATGCCTAACACACATGAGGCCCTAGGTTCAACCCCTGGCACTGCACAAAGAGAAAAAAGAAAAAAAAAAAGATCTAAAATAGCAACATATTAATAAGACTTAAAAAAGTTGAAAACCTGTACAAGAAAAACACATATATCAACATATATAACAATTATGTGTGAGATCCAGCTTCGAATGTCTCCGAGCCTTATGACTGTCGGGGGAAGGAGGAAACCCAGCCAGACCAGTAGTCCCTCAGTGGAAAGTCAGCGACAGTGAGCTTGGCCCAGACACATAACATATTCAGTGGAAGAAGAGCTTTGGGGGCACAGAATTATTTTTAAAATATGTATGACTTTATATAAGGGGACCTTGAGTGGTGTGATAGACAGAGTCCTCCTACAATTTTTTTTTTTAAACAGCGAATGCAGCAGATAATTGTTGCAACCCTTGAAAAATCCCAAGGTTTTAAAATTCAGTTAAATTCAGAGAAGGCAATCCTAGGAGCAATTTAGGGTCACTGTGGCCCATCTATGCAGCTGGGGATCCAGGGCTTGAATTGAGGAGCAGGGCAGTTCTTCCATATGTTACTGTGGCTACTTCCCTTGAATGTCGCTGCCTTAAGTACCTGAATATCTACTGTGTGGTGATTATTGTGCAGGATGGCAATTAAGTGGAATTCACATTTTAACTGAGGAGAAAAGTTTGTATGAAGGATATGTACTTTAGAAACTTGGTGACAAGAATAACTAGTTCAGGAAAAAATAAAACAGGATTTATGGAACGGCTAGATCTAGAACTGGGCCTCAGTGAATGAAGTGTAGGACTAAGAAGTACGTGTGTGTGTGTGTGTGTGTGTGTGTGTGTATGTGTGTGTCCATATAATTGTGTAATGCATGCCTATCTATCCTATCTATTTAGATATTAATTCAGGAATAAGCAATAATTTTAGAACAAAACTCTTACCATTCATCATTCATTTCAACTTATCTCATATTTTATTCTATGGTGCCCTTTGTCCAGCTTGCCACTAAATATTCATATTCTGAACTTGTCATAGACATAACAAACTCAGATTGCGTGGTACTATTTGGCATGCCCCTGCCCCTTTCTAGGCAGATGAAATCTGGTTGAAAAGAGCACAAGGCAGTCTAGACTGGGAAACCAAGTCAGAAAAGCCAGTAGGCTGAGTATGTGAAGATGGAAAAGGGGTGAAGCCCCAGGGTCTGCCCAACCCATCCCATCTCTATCGCCATCTCAGGATACCTCGTGATACTCTGAGCTTTCTGTGCATCTGAGGGTTCAATCCTCGCACCCTTGCCTCTATTGTATAAGTGGGATTTAGGTGCTGTAACTGATAGTTAGAATCCATTTGTAGTCTCTACATTAACAAAGGAACTTACTGACATGCCCAACAGCTGGTCATTAAAAGAGCTTTAATGTTTCCCTTGGTCTCTAAGCCATGCTCAACCAGTATTTCCACCAATGGTGAAGCCCCAGGCTGTGCCTCCATCACTTCCCCCTGCTTGCCAGAGCCAAGGCCATCAGTTTAAGACGAAGGCACAAAGCAGGGGTGACAGCTCCAGTCTGGGGGTTCTAGGACTTGCAGGCTAGTTTAGCCTGCTCTTTCTCTTCCTGCCCGGTGACC